GCCGCCCCGCGGCGCGGGGAGCTCCGGGCCTCAGAGCCGGCCCGCGGGACGGGCTGCTGTCGGTGGCGGCCCAGGGCACCACGGAGGGAGGGAGAGAGGGACGGAGAGAAGGACGGAGGGCGGGACAGGCAGCGGGGCTGCCGGCATGGAGGGGAGGGCGCGGGAGCCTCCTCCCCTCCCCTCCCCCCTCCTCCCCGGGGCTGCCATGGCAACGGCGCGGCGGCCTCGCCCCACGCGGGTCTTTCCGTATCCCGTCCGGCTCCGCGCGAGCCCATGAAGGCGGGACGATGGAMGGGCAGGCCACGCCCCCTACGGCCGCCATAGCCAGTGGGCTGCCTGGTCGCTGCCGGGAGGGCTTAAGATGGCGGCGGGCGGAGCAGCCAATGGGGTGGCGGCGGAGAGCTTGAGGGGCGGGGCCGAGGCGCTAGCAAGGTTGGACGGCGCGCACGCGGCGGCGTGGGGTGCGTTGGGTTGCGGGGCGGGGGCGGTGCCGTTGGGGGCGGGGGGTGGCCCTGTGGGTCTGGGGGGGCAGGGGGAGCCCTGTGGGGCTCGGCGGCTGCTCGGGGCTCCCAGCGCTCCCAGCGCTGTCTGTGCGCCGTCCGTGGGGCAGAGGAGCAATGTGCGCGTGGGGGGAAGGAGCCGCTGTGGGGTGGTGTGGGAGGGCCGCAGCCGCGCGCAGGGCCTGCCCTGAGGGCCCCGCTGGGGCGGGCAGTGCGGCTCGGGGAACGGAGTCCGTAACTCACCAGCAGGGGTACACACGCGTATATATGTATATATGTGTGTGTATATAAATATATATATGTGTTGTTTTTAACTGAGGAAAAGTCAAAAGATTTTTTTCTGTTTTGGAACAGCAAAATAATACTTAAAGAAAATACTCTAAAGTTGCTGTAGTCACATCCCCGAGGATGTTCTATATCATCAGTAGGTGTTTCAAAAGTGTGATGGACGGTGGATAGTACCACGACTGCAGTTGTAGCTGTTTTATACTGTGGGATATTGGTTATAACTACGTAAATCCAAATTGATTTTCCCTAGGAATGTAACGTGTATCCAGAAATAAGCAGAACCGTGAGGTCTTCTCTTACTACCATGGGTAGCAAGTGTGTGGAAACTTCATGTTATAACAGCACAGTAGTGTTAGTGTTTATTTCGTAAGATTTCTAAAGGATTTCCTGTTCTGGAGCTGCCATCAGATGCTGTGTGTGCCAAGGGGCTCCGGGAGATAGCTGTTATTAAGGAAAATACACAGCTGCAAATAGCTTCAGTTTATCCCGTGGATTGCCTTCTGTGTCCCCAGCTTACATAGTGCTTGTCCGTATATATATTTATAGATGCACATAGATCCAAATATATATATATATATATATATGGATTTTTCTCTAAATGCCTTTTTATGCGGATAGGGGACGTTCCTGTAGGGAAGATGAGCTCTGGACTGTGTGTCTCAGAGGAGGGTCCCTTGCAGGGCAGCCCGTGAGTGCAGTTCAACAGCGCTTCCCAACTAGGGACACATGGAATTCGGGCAGGTGCAGGGCGTGAGGGGGCTTTCTCCTTCCTTACCTCTTTTGCTGTTATACTGCCACGTTCCCTTATTCCGAGGGGTCACAGGAGGTGCTGCTGGTGCCTTGTCTTCCCTTATATCCTTTTCCCACCACTTTTCCTTCCCGTTTCTTCCCCTGCGAGCTGCTGGTTCTTTCCGCGCGGTGCTGCAGCCGGGGGACAGGACGGCTCTGCTGCGGCCCTGCGCCTGGGAGCCYGGAGCAGCCCTTGCCCCTCAGCCCTGGCACCCGAATTTGGGGGGTTAGTGAAAGCTCAGAGCAGTGGGCCCRTTCAGCATGGTCGGGGAAGAACCTAACTGCCAAATCATAAATGCTCTAAACAGCAGTTTTCATAAATTGTTTTCATATTTTTTTTCTTTTCTTTTTGCCCTTAGCTGACACCTCAATGGGAGTTGCAACTAAAAGTATCTGAGAACAAAGTGAGATGAGGATGGGTAGCTCGCTGGAAAAACAAAGTAAGCCAATCTCTGAAAATGAAAATCACTGCTGAAATTGCAGAATTGGAGGACAGACGGTGAGCAGTTAGGTGAGGCAGATGGGAAGGCCAAGGAAAAGAATGTGTTCTGCCCTGCTTCAAGGCCCTAGAAATAATCAAAGTATTTTTTATGTACTGGAAGGGAATAAATATCACTCATCTGTCTGTCACTTTCAACAAATGACAGTAATGTTTTAAGTCAGAAGTAAATAGTTCTACAAATCCATCTCACGGGATATCAATTGGATTTTAATTGTGGAAAAAAAAAACAGGAGCATCAAGACATAGGTCGTGTGCTGATTAAGGTAACTAGCTCAAAAGATGAGTTGGAAAATACAATCACTTTTTTCTTTTTTTGCTATGTAGTGCTTGTCTGTAGCAATGATAACCTTGAAAACATTGAATGTCTGTATTTCATGTGTTTTTAACTTTGCTTTTAGGTGAATGATGACTGAACGTACTGTTAATTCCTGTAGCTGCTACTACTATAATTTTTTTTCTTTCTGCTTTAGTTGAAAAAGTTTTCACTAACACCTTTCTCTGCAGTAAGTCAAAACTACTGGTGGTGTCCTCTCACTTAAAAAAGAAAAGGTAAAAGCATTATATAATGGGTAAATGGTTAAATTGACCAAATAACCCATCATTGAACTGAAATGGGCAAAGTGCTTGCTGTGCTCACAGTACTTTGAATAGGAAGTTTCAAGTTCTGATCTTTTTTCAATAATTTGAGGATCTATTAATAATGGGCAGGGACTTAAGTCTGTTGCTATGGGAATAGCTGAGCTGGAATTAAGCACTATTATTCCTTGTGGAATCATAAGGGACAAGCAGATGGCTGGGAAAGCATTAATTCTTGTTTAGAAATACACGGCTCTTACTGGCAAACCCGACTTACTCACGTTGTGTAGTTTGTAGAGGTTTTTGTGGAGGTAACTGAGGTAGATTTTAGGCTGTTGGGTGTCAAGGATGTATGTGAACCAGCTTTCAAAGGGASGGAAATGACTTTAAGGAAATGGAGCTTAAACAGTTTGATATCTAGGATAAATACTATTGTGTTATTATGTGATGTGTATTGAGTGTTTCTGCTTAAAGAAGTCTGTGGGACCCAAMTATGACTATAACAGACTTGAGAGGGGCATGGACTTTTTTTCTTTTTCCAGGGGAAAATTTAGTTTTGACCCTTGTTGGATGCTTGAGGAGCAAATGCGAAGTGTATAGAGAACAGCGACCTTGTTTTGTTTGTGTGACCTGGAGATACCATAGTCAGATCTTTGGTTATCCTGAAACGTGAAAGTTCCAAACATATGCACTGAAGTCACAAAACTGAGACTTAAAGGAAGAGCCCATTACTGATTTCTAGTTTCTGTAATGGGTTGCAATGAAGGAAGAAGTTGCAGTGTTGTTCAGTTCTTCTTCTCTGCAGTATTGGAGGCTAAATAATACATTTCACTTGCAAACAAAAACTGCCATTCTTGAGCAATAGCCTGGTTTGGGGAACTGAGGCTTTAATGGTAATAAATTCTCACAGCATTTCTTTTTAATGCCAGGAACCTAATGCTGCTCTTTGCTTATGTTTTGTGCTGTAAATGAAGTTTTCATTTCCCTGACCATCACACTTTGCCTGTTAGGAAGCCAGTGAGCCCAGCGTAGGCCATTAAAGCTGGTGCAGGAGCTCCTAGGTGAATAGAAAGGATCAGGGCGCTTCTTATAAGTTGCTTGATSTAAAACCCAACTGTCTGCAGCTCTGAAGGGTATTTCAGCTCTTTTGCCTCGTGGTCATTAGTGACACCAAGTGGGCTTACCACGAAATAACACACTTGGTTCGAGGGTCACTGTCCTGCAGTCTGACGCGCTGTGAAACACCTCGTTGCTTGTGTGCTGGAAGCTGCACCCCTCTTGGGCTGATGGCCACGTGCAGAGGCGGTCAGGGCAGGACAAAGTCTTGAGGTTTGTATTGCAGAGAGTGAGGAACATTCCCATTTGGGAAGGTGCGTTCCCCATGCAAGGACCTTGGCAAAAATASCCAGCTGATTGGAGGGCACGCGCAAGTCCTCGGGTTTTGTCTCCAAAGTTTCATGCACTTGAGGAAGAGGAAGCCACCTTAAGCTCAGAACTGCCTACTCTCTGTGCACATACGTACCCTCATAAGAAGGTATTATTGCTGCTTTGGAAACAGTGCAGTAAGCAGCTCTTGTGTCTTCCTGTCGTCTGTCTGATGATATCTCCCAGCAAGGAGAAAAGCTGCTGCTTATCTCTCTCTTGCTTGTCTTCCAGGCTGCCTTCTTACCAGTGTGCTTTGCTTTGCAGGGGCAGCTGTGGGCACCACGCTGGTAAGTTGGAAAGGCAGAAGAATCCAAGTGTTGTCCTCACTATTCTTATGAGAAGCTGCTTTGACAGTTAAAAGCTCTTTAATTTCTGGTGTCAATTTTATTTATGGTCAGCTAATACTCCTGCATTATTGTGCCCCTCTTGTTCTTGAGTAGGACCATTCCTTCCCTTTGATGTATTTGAAGATAGTAGTTGTATCCCCTCAGCCCATCTTTGCCAAGCTTTACAAGGCTGAGTCTCAGCTTGRTTGTAAGAACTTCTCATCCCCTGCCTCATTTGAGCAGGTATTTTCTGCAACTGGTAACAGTTCAGTGACAAGCCCTGCTGCCAAGCGACTGTGACCCAGCAAAATTTGGTTTCACAAAAGCAATAAGAAGCGAGCAAGGTTGGTAAAGGCATAAAATTCTCGACTCYGCACTTTTTATGTGTCTTGTTTTTGGGCAATGCTGCCTGCCAAGGATGCTGGAAAGGCCTTTTTGGCTCTGGAAGAAAGCAGATTCCCAACCTTTGGGCTTTGTGGGTGCTAACAAGAGCATGTTGCCTCTGTTTTGATTCTGTCTGGACTGTGGCAAACAGAAGGCTGTAAAGAAAGTGCAGAAAGCTGTGAAGCCTTAAGTTCCTAAATATTTTTCATCTTCCCAGTTCTTGGTCCCATTTCTTGTGACTTAAGTCTTAAATCATTCCCATAGTGGAAAGGTAGTTAAACAGGAGCTTTCAGCACAGCGCTTTGCAGAACAGCTGTGGCTGTTAAAAATCACCTCCCTTTTCATATCACTGTGTACGAAGCAGGTGGGACTGGTGCTGGAGCACTGTGTCTAGGTCAGGTGTCAACGCTGTCTAAAGGCTGTTGGARCCAGCTTTGAGAACACCTTGCATGGGGAGCCCTTGTGCAAACCAGGTGCCTCGGTGTCTTCTATGCACAGTGACGGGTAAATTCTGAGCAGGGAGGAGTYGCACAGCACCAAACTTCTATGGTCACGTTTTCCATCCTCTGTTTTGTATTGTTGTCACTTAGATTACATCTCTTTGTCACAAAGCATCGAAAACAGAGCTTGGAGCATGGGAGCTCCAGGGTTATGTTTAAGGAGCGTGTTTTGGAAGTTGGTAGCCTGTGAGCTGTCCTGGGCATGCAGAGATCTCCCATTTCTCCTGTTGATTTGATACTGGAGAAAGTCTCCCAATTGCGTTGATATGGTGGTGTTCTGGATCAGCCAACTATCAGAAAGGTGGGATTTGATTGATGTGGTGAGATATGGCCTGGCTTTCTTAAGGAAGCAAATGAAGAAAATAAACAGATGCCATTTCCCCCCGTAGTCTTGACCAATGGTTAGACCAGCGCGATGCATTTGGAGCTGCAGAGGATTGTTTAACTAGTTTTAAGTGTAGTGTTAAAAATTGTCAGGCACGCAGTCATATTCTGAGGAACACTGGTGCCCCTTCTGCATGCACAGGTGTACACATCCTGCATGTCTGCATGTGTATGTTAAACAGCAACATCCCAGTGAAGACTGGTTAAGCTTGGGTTTTTAGGGACTGTAAAGTGCCATGAAAGTGCACGAGTCTCGAGTTCAGAAGAATGAGCTCCAATAGCAGAGTGTACTTAAGCTAAATTACTGTTGTGAAAGAACTTCTGAAATAACCTGGTAAATAAAACATTTCATCTTCTTATATTTTGGCACCATAAGTGGTAACAGGAGCTGTTACTCTTGTTGTAGCAAAGTTTCTTTATATCCTTTTATTCCRGTTGCTGCTAATTTTAGGCTGAAATTTCCCAGGCTTCCTGTGATGCAGAAACAAACTCTTTGGAAGAATTTCAGCAAAATTTACCAATCTTTGAATCTTCTTGTTTGCAGTTTATTTTGTATCAGCTTGTTGGTACCAAGTGGCAGTGTCTAATTTGAAGGAAATAAATGCTCCCATTTCAGAGTCACTAAATTATTCATGCAGCTGCATAAGTAATTTCCCSCCACCTTTCTCCGTAGGACGGATCATTGAGGTTGCCTGTTCATGTGATGCTTTTGTTCAGCTTAAAGTGGCTTTGAAAATCATCACTCTTGGAGCCCTTTGTTGTAATCCCCAACTTGAAAGAATATTGAAGCATTTTCAAATGTGGAATTTGAGAGTGCATCGCTATGACTTTCACATTTTATCCTGTAGCCTGAAGGTTCAGAATAAGGATTGTTTTATTTTCCCCAAAGTCAGCTATTAGCACTTAATAATATTTCTTATATGTGGGTATTACAGAGTAGGCAAATACTGTCTTTGTTTCACTAATTGAGAAAGTAAGGAGTGAGTATTGCAGCTCGTTGGGAGCCTTTTGGGAAGTCCTCCTGCAGGATYGGGGCTGGCACGTTGGACTTTCCAAGGCTGTGCTCGTGTTGAGTCCATCTCACCTGGTCAGACACAACCTGAGCTCCGTCTTGGCCTGTAGCTCCAGCTCAAACAGCTCCTTTCTTTTAACAAAAGCAAATGCTGCTGGTGGGGAGGTACCTGAGAAAAGCACTCAGAGAAAGTTATGAACCTTCTCGTAGCTGATAATGGTTGCGTTAGAGATGTGAGAGAAGGTTGATAGCGTGTGCATAGGGTAACATGGTGCTTGTTCAGCTCCCTGGTCAGAATTGRGAGGGTGCTCAGCGCTGTCCCTGCGAGGCCTGTCCTCAGGGAAAGCGAGGCTGGTGCTGGTGGCAGGTGCCCAGGAGCACGAAATGCCTTGTCTGTGCTCCGAGGAGATAAGCACAAGTGCACAAGGCTGGGTCTTGGATTCCCTTCAAGCTCCACAGTGGATTTGCAGTGAATAGCTGTAATGCCATTACAGACAGATACCGGGACACCAAGGTGGTGTGTTTTGAAGCTGTGGGTTTTGCCCCTTGTCCAGGGGTTGTGGGTGTTGATGTTCACATGGCGCTTGAACAACCCAGCRTGCCAGAGCTGTTGGGTGCATCATCCACCTTCTGTTTTGCAYGGGGGAATTAACTACTATCTGGGACCTCTTCTCATTGCAGGAGGAAGTTTAAGAGACTGCCTCAGTGTCACAGAATGGCCTGTGGTTGCTCTTTGGGCTGCATGACCCGTCTTCCAGGAGGTGACACGTGTGCCTAATTTCCTATGGTGTTAGTGGGGCACAGTTTAGGCACTGCTTATAGCTGGGAGAAGGGAGGGGATGTAGCTACAGAGCTGCTGTTTGACGCTCCTCATGGTGACCAGCTCCTCTCCCAGGACTGTGGTCCTGCTCTTGGGCAATATCCAGAGCTCACCCGAAGACAGAGAGCTTACAGTTTCCCTGTGCAGGGGTGTATATAGGCATCCAATATATATGTATGTCCAGGYTAGCATTTGCAGAGAGTTTCTGAACACAGCGTGCTTGTTTAAAAAATAAAGCACACGAGAATAAATGCCACTTTGAAGTTACGTCCTGATTACAGTACCTCTGTAATGTAATGTTTCCTTGGAAATCTTTCAGCTCTGCCCCTATAAAATGGGATTGCTTCTGTTGCATTTTCTCTCCACTTGATCTGAGAATAGCCATGAGAGTGAAATAGAGCATCTGTTATTCCCTCTTAGTCCCTAGCAGTCTCCTCTATTGGATGACCACTTCATCCGTGCCTGGATGCGAGCGTCTCCTCTGCCTGGTATCCTCACTTCCACATGGATCCAGCTGCTCATGTTGGATTGGATTAGGGTGGTGGAGGATTTATTCTGCTGCCCCTCTCCTGTAAGATCTGTGCCACYAGCAGCAAAGTGGGTGACCAGAGAAGATTTTTACAAAAGAAAACTCCAGATCTGTTTGCAGTTATGTACAACAACTTCTCAGAGCCTTTAGCGTCTTTGTTCCTCTGCAGGTTATCCAGTCAGTTGTGGAGAAGATAGTTTAGCTATCTGAGCTTCAGCTTTTATTTTACATTTAAGTCAAATTTTAAGCCACTGGGTTATTTCCACAGTCAGAGTTTGATATTGATGTTTTATGAACTAGGCCTTTTGCAGCTCTTYACCCTCTCTTCCAATTCATGTGTTTCCATCCGTAGGCTTTCAGTTACTGATGGTGTAATGTTAATTCAATGTAGTCTGGACCTGAAGATGTGCTTATATTTTCTTCTAAATCTTGGCCTACTTCCACCATATTSTTCTAGTGTTGGATGCAAAACCAGAACAGTTTGAGCAGAAAAACCTTAGACCAGCAGTCCCTTCTGTTTCTGATTTGTATTATTTTTCCTCTAGATACTACTGTTGTTTAAGCCCACTTCTCTGTCCCATTTAGACATAAATCTCATTCTTGAACAGAATTGTACCCCTCGGGCCACATGGTACAGAGAGTGGGGGTGCAGTTGGGTTCATGCAATGTTATAAGTTGTKTTATAAATATATATGTATATATATTTATGTCCTTCCAGCAGATTTTACTGTGATAGTGCATCTCCCACCTCCCTCCGCTTCTGCGCTGCTGCTCTGTTTTTCTCTGTAGTGCAACTGCAAAATTGCCTGCACTTGTTTCTTGCTGTGCTTTACACGTAGAAACGACATGGAGCTGATCTGAAAGGATGAAATAATTTACTTGGCAGCGTCCGTCTTGTCTCTGCGCCTTAGTGTAGCCCAGTGTGCATCTTACTCCCTTCCTGCTCAACAGACTAAATGCTGCTCTCTCAGGCATGGGCATAAAATGGGCATGCTGCATAAGCACCTTAGCTCTTTACTTGGGTAAAATAACCAAATCCACTATAGGAATTTGTGTTCTACAGAAATTATGTATACCTCATACTCTTTTTGTGCCTCTCTTGCTTGTTTAGGTCGCTTGCCTGACCTGCCTCGTGCTGCGAAGCGGTGCTGGGGAGGAGAGCTCTTGAGAAGCTTTGTCCTTAGTGAAGCCCGGRCTGCTCATGTTGTTCTCACCCAATGTTGTGCCTTGCATTTTGGGTTTAAAATGGAAGCCCCATGTAGTGCTGCATGCACGAATTGCTTTCCGCTGCCCAGAGCTTCAGGTTTGCTCTTACTTTGCTCTTGAACTTTTACTAATTGTGAAAATAAAAAGGGAGGGTGTGTTTGCATCCTTTGTTGTAGGAAAGAGCTGTGCAAGATTTCATCTACCGCTGTTCAAATCCCTTGCTATTTTTGGTATTTGACCTCTGCCGAGAAGATTGCCAAATCTGCAGGTTGTTTTCATTTTTATTACGTATTTCTGCCCTCCTACTCACAAGTTACTCTTACSTACTGGTTTAGTCTTTGAGACAAAGTCCTGTTTCTCGCACATTTTCCGATGTATTTTTAAAGGGGTAATTTTATTTTCCTGTACGTTGCTGAGGTAAGAGTCTGCTTAAGAAATGAGATGTTGTGGAATTGCATAGTTCTGGTGAACAGAACTAAAAGGAGAAAGAAAATAGTTTATGAATCGCTGGATTATTTTCAAAAAAAAATCTGTTTTAAAGACATGTGAGACCGCTGGCTTGAGCGGAGAAGGTAGTGTTCACAGCAACACACAAAGAGCGGAGCAGCAGATGCTTAGACAATATTAAATATTTAGTTTGTGCTGCTGGTTGTTACTTAGATCACTTGTGTATTGCCCTGTTTTGGGCACCTAAGACTGTCTGCTGCCAGTTTTGCTCGCTGTTTCAGAAAATCCTGTCCCTCCTGTGTGGCATCCCTCCTGCTTCATGCCTTCAAGTTTTTCTCTTTTAAAGGAGCTTTATAAGATGCTCCAGAGTTCAAAATGTCTTAGCTTATTTCAGAGTACTCTATGTACTAGAGTTCACAAGATGCAGCGAGTTGTAAGTGTCCTCCAGGCAGCTCATCATTCCTGGTGCTCCTGATACCGGAGAGGCGCACCGGGCTCACATGCAGCTGTGAAGTTCATTCATAGGAAGGTTACATGGCTTGGGCACTTCGAAGGACTAGATTTGGTAACACAGAAGGTTCAAATTTAGTTTATAAAAGTTGCTTTTCCCCATTCACTGGGTGTGGGTKCAGGGGAGATGCATGCTGCTGGCCTTCTGTTGTTATCTGTAGTTTTGTCTGTGAAATGGTGCTCCTGGGCTTGGATGGTTGCACCAGGCTACTATGCTCCATCCTCATGGGCACACATTTCCAGTTCCTGACTTTGCCAAAGGGTTCTTGGGGACCTGCACAAAACCCATCGCTCTGGAGGCTGCGTTGAAGAGTGTTGAGCTGGAAAGTGCTTGGCTTCCACRGCGCAGAGCTCCATGTGCTTTGGAAGTGGCAGCAATCCAGAGCTTAGTTATCTGCCATTGTGTTTGGAAGACCAGGGTTTCCTATTTGTCTCATAAATTTAATACAGATCCTATTCCTGCCATTTAAACTTTCCCATCAAAATACAACAGTGACTTCCCCTCCTGAAAAGGAAGGGCCAGCAGCTACACCCTGAAGCTTGAGCAGCAATTGTTTATATAACCTTCAGTCAGACTCCTAAGAGTTTGAAGACTTTTTCACCAGCACRAACTAAGGTTCCAGCAAGACCTGGTCAGATGCAGCATTAAGGTCTTTGTTGTTGCAATGGAAATAGAAGCCAAGAATTTACCCTTCAGCTTCCCGGTGATATAAATTACACATGGAGCTGGAAAACATGAACGGCCCTTTCTGGTATTTCAAATAGCTGCAACTACGTCATTTGGGGGTAAAAACTTAGGAACTATCTTGGGCTAGTGTTATCTTCCAAAAAATATTATTAAATCYGAAGGAAGCATCCTTCTAGGGGCTCTGTTTTTTTGCAGCTTCTGTGTATTTGTAGAGTTCCCTTCCTTTCCCCATCCCCAAAGTAGTAAAAAATGTGACATAAAAGAGGAGTGTTGTAAAAATTGCTCATTAAATAAATTCTCTGTCAAAGTCAGTAATATTTAAATAACAACAGCTTGCTTTCCACAGGGAGGACATTTGTCAGGAATGTGTCTGTTTAAGTTTACATGACCTTTTGAGTATGAAAAAGGCTGATTATTCTGAGCTTCAAATTCAGGTCAGTCTGGAAAACCACCTTTTTCATGCACAGAAAGAATACAATTTATTGGTAATGACAGCAGTGTAGGATAGCAGCTCTCTGAAGTTGCCTTCTGCACATCCAAATATATGTTTGGAAACACCATTTTAATGAAAGTTTCTGTTATAATTCTTTGGCAGACTCAGTTAAGCAAAAGCTGCTCTATTTTAATAATACATATTTCAGATCTTTTTGTCTTAAAATGATTCATTTGCATGAAAGTTTAATGCTTTTGTGCATTTTTTTCCTTGAAATTTTTGTTATGACTTTGTGTTATGGTCTTTGGGGTACTTTACTTAGTCTGACACAAATATTTTGTTACACAGCTGCACTGTGATTCTTCTCAAAAGTAAAGTTCAACAAACGCAGGTAAAACCAGGTCTTGCTCTTATGTGCAGCTCCTTGGCAGCATTAACTATCTAAAAGCTTGCTGCACTTAAGGACATATGCAGAAAAGCACATGAGCAGCAAGCTGTGCAGGTGGGATTGCACGCAGACTCCTGCCAGAGAGAGTGTTGACTACTGCCCTGTAGAGGGGAAAGGAGTTTCCACAGGATGTCTGCTTTTCATGGCACAAATTCCTTATAGACGTGCTCAGAAAGGTTGCTTTGATGTAGAAGATTAACCTGGGGACCTTATTGTCGGGATATTTCTGAGGCAAATAGCTTAGTGAGATTATTGGTGACTTGGGAATTAAGCTTTTATGGGTACGTCTACTTAAGCTCTTTTTAAAATTTGCTCTCGTTTGTCCCAGGGCCTGCTGGATATTTGTATGTGGCAGCCAGAAGCAAAACTCCAGTGCTGCAGGCAAACAAAAGGAGCAGAGGACAGCTCTGCCCCAACAACTTCTTTTAAGTTGCTGCTCTCTCATGGACCTTTCATGCAATTAGCCTAAAACAAGTAACACAGGGTACCTTATTTCACTCCTAGGAGTCTGGCTTGAAGGATTAAAAGTTGGGATAGCTGGAAGTACATGATAATATATGTATATATTTGAGCTATGAGTTGGCATCACTTCTCTGCAGTTTCTGGTGTAATTTCCTCCGAAAGAGTCCTTTTATGCATGTGATTACTACTTTTGGGTGCTGGCGTGGCTCTGAAGGAAATAACTGGACTTTTGAGTAGCGTTTTACATGCGTTAGCCAAAATATCCACGTGAATGAGAAGTGACTGGAGAGTTGATCCTCAAGGACTTACTGTGATTTCCTCAATATAAGAATTTTTCTTTTCCACACAATGGAAAAGTGGTCTAGTGTAAGCTGTAATTTTAACAGAATTCATCTATGTGTTTGGGTATGTTCATTTTCCAGACTGCAATTACATCTTTGGCTCTTTTAATGCTTATTTATTTATTTAATTATTTTTAATGACTGTGAACTGTCAAAGGCTGTGAACTGACTGAAATTACTTACGATTATGACAGGCAGTCATCTTATTTAAATGCAAAGGCTTTAATACTTTTTGTGATTTTAAATTGATGTAAACCTTCAGTGTGATTGTGGAGCTGAGTTCTGCTTTGTGTTACAGAGAACTTTCTTTCAGGGCATGTTATTTTGGAAAAGTTCCTTCGTGCGTGAGCATTGCAAAGATACTTTAATTGTGTTTTGCTTTGCAATACTTCTATTTTAGACATCAGCCTGTTAGGAGTTTCTAGGAGAGTTCAGTAATGCCAAAGAGTTGCTGCCAAAAGTAATTCTTTTTTTTTTTTTTTTTTTTATCACTTGCACCAAGAGCCAGATTTATGTAGATGTTCAGGAGTTTGGAAAAAAAAAAAAAAAAACGATCCAGGTGCTTAGGAGAATTGATGGTAATAACTAAGATACTTAATTCCAGTGAATTCTCTGTGTGTAATATAGCCTRCTTAGGTGCCCCATGTTGGCAGGTGTTTATGTGCATCATTGGGCACCTAAGTACTTGGAAAACTTACTTAATCAGGCCATTTGAGGATGTAGTTTTGCATAATGTTTGTCTTGTTCCCTCCCTACCTTCTTTGCCTGCTAATTTGGGAAGTCTCCCGCAGTTTCCATGGTGGTCGAGGCCGTTGATGTCTGTGTCCTGGAGCGCGGGGGCAGGCAGTGCTGAGAACTTGGTCTGTTCGGGTGTGGAGGATGCTGCTTTCCTGCTTACCGTATAAAAATAATAAGGCAAATTTAGCTGGAYGACTTTCACAGGATTCAAAAGCAGAATACCTAATCTTTTAAGGGGCTTATACGATGGAGCGCTGGCAGTCTTGGGGGCCTGAACTCCTTAGCTCAGGAAGCACCTTCCGGTTCTGTCTCTGTAAATAAAGCTGAAGCAGACAGGGCACTGGGCTAATTACGTTTCGACCTCACGCAAGAAGCCTTTGCATTTGTGCATTTTTAAAAACTAATGTTATTTCAGAATGAATTAATTAAAATGCATCTCGGATTTTCTTTTTTACAGATATCTGACAACTTCGAGTACGACGTTCATGATGGCTGCAGCGGAGACAATCGAGGAGCTGTTTGGCAGGCTGCGCATCGCAAAGCGCTCTGTGCTGAGCGAAGAACCTGCTTACTTATTGGACATAGACATTTCAAAACCTGCTCAGTCTGAAAGCAGCCACTTTGTGGCAGTTTCGTGTTCCAATGAGTCCATTAGGATTTATAACAGGGCGACGTTAACCTTCCTGCGGGAGTACAGTTGCTGTCCTGGGATGCTAAATGGAGTCCGGTTTGCGCACGCACGTGACAGCGTGGTGTTTTCAGCGTGCACTGATGGCACAGTAAAATGTTGGGATGTTCGTTTAGCAACACAGAAAGCTGTGCAGGTTTTCAGTGGCTACCCTTCCAACGTTTTCATCAGTTTTGATATTAATTGCAGTGATCTCATAATTTGTGCTGGAACAGAAAAAGTAGAAAAGGATACGTTTTTGGTRTTTTGGGATGCAAGGGGTGATACAAACTGTGCCAGCAAGAGTAAAGAACCCTTGGGAGTCTATTCTGAAAGTCACAATGATGACATCACTAGAATTTGCTTTCATCCTACCAAACCCAGTTTGATAGTTTCGGGGTCAACTGATGGGCTGGTTAATGTCTTTGACATCAACAAGGACAACGAGGATGATGCTTTGATATCAACTTGCAATTCGGATTCATCCGTAAGCTTTATCGGCTGGTCTGGGAAAGATTATCAACAGGTCTATTGCACAACACATGATGAAGGGTTTTCCTGGTGGGACCTTGCTCAGTTGGATACAGAAGAACCCATAACGTTATTGCATGTCCTAGATGTCCGAGCAGCAGTCTGCATTGAAAATGACACCTTAAATTACCTCGTAGGTGGCTTGTACCATGAAAAAGCAGACAAACTGCTGCTTATTGGGGGAACATCCACAGGAAACATCCACCTAATAAGCTGTGGCCTCGATGGGCTGAACGTTGTGGGTGCCCTTCGAGGAGGCCACGCTGCCGCTGTCCGTTCTTTCTGCTGGGACGCGACGGATGAGTCGCTGCTGACTGGTGCTGAGGATGCACAACTGTTGCTGTGGAAACCGGGAGCTACGGAGAGGTCCTTCGCAAAGAAAACATCTCTGAAAACGGCTTCTTCCGTTCAGAGGAGAGTGAGGGTCCATAGCACCTCCCTCCGAAGCGGGAAGAAGTGAAATCCTGAGAATGGAGAGCTCTGCTATAGAGAGCTCTTGTATTCGTGTCATCTTGCAGGCAGGACCTGCCTGCTGCTTTGTTTGGAGGTGTTCTACAGAGAGAACGGTGATGCCTAGAAATTCTGCCTAGGAAGGTACTGTGGTCATGAAATGAATACWATTATATATGTGAAAAGAAGCTGACAACATTAATCTGAAAAGAGGAATTGTTTGCACTTGAACAATGAATCCTAAATATTTTTATATATGAATTTTTTTATGGTTGGTTGATGTCTCAGCCGATGCTTTTAATGTATAATACAGGCCCATGGCTTATGTGGTTTGTTACTTTCCTCCTGAAATTCCCTGGCATACTTAAAAAGCTCTTGTGTTTTGAGTTGTGTTTCTCTTGCTTTACAGAGAACTTAATGAAATTGCTCAATATATTAAAAGATTTTTCTGTCATTTCTTAATGCCTGTGGGAATTACTTCCTGATGAAAGGGAGAATAAGGACTGTTCTGCACTGTCATCTCACTGTTTATTACAAGCTCATAAAGCAGCAGTTCATAGAGCTGCATTTCCTTAGCAAAGAGATGAATGTATTCAGCCGAACAGGAATATGTGATGCTAAGGAGGTAATCTTTTAAGCATGAGAAGTGTTAAACTGGTGTTATTTGGGGCATTTTTCCTGCATGAAAACACACAGGAATCTTCCTTCCTGGCAAGAAAGGGTAYCTCACTGCGTGTACCTGGAAGATGGGGAAGCTCCTCCACGGGGTTGGAGAGACTGATGGGCACGGTGACACCAGTGCTTGTGACCACCTCTTCTGCAGTTGACATTAACTAGTATCACATGCTCAGTTGGAATGATAAAAAACACCTTTTGAGAACATAGTTATGGAATGAAAGGCCAATATAAGGAGATTTCAACAAATCCTGTTAGAGGTTTGTGCCTCTCATTTAAGAAATGCCTTTCCCTGCAGAAGGTAGTGTATGCTGAAGCACCTCTCTAGGACTGCTGCGTTTTAGTATTCCATCAAATAGGCATTAAAAGGTGCAAAAATTGCATTATATTTGAAAACTGTTCAGTTTTTATGCTTAGTCTTTTGGCAGCTCCCAACCTCCGCACAGGCAGTTGCCTCCTGCCTTCTAAGTACCATTGCAGTCAAGTCATGGTTGGTAGTTGTGCCATATTTGACATGCCTGGACCACAGCTGAAAACAGCAGAAGAATATTTAAGGTTTGCTATGTTAGAGAACAGTTGGCAAAGGAATTAAGAGTTTTATTTCACCTGAGAGTGAGGTAGTTCTTTGAAAGCAGTGGCGAATGTCAAGTTTACAAATGTTTCCTAAGCAGAGAAGATGCTTGCCTCTAGTGTAAGGTTACAGCTACGCTAGGGGAGGCTTAATCATCTCTGGAGAGGAATCCTAGTCAAGCAGAAGTATCACATTTCCCCATGATATATTTTACAAAGTGTTCATGTCCTACAGCCATATGTCCACACTTGTTTTGTGCTTGTCTGTTGATAATAATTAAGATGTGATTCGGTTGTTTTTTGTTACWGCTGTTTATTCACATAATGATTAAGGTTGGAAGGGAGCTCTAGGGATCATCTCGTCCAGTCTCCTGCACCTGGAGCCCGTCCAAGTGGGGATGCCTGGAAGTGCAGCTTCAATYTGAAAATCACATTTCTCTAAACTTCTGCTGAGTTCAGGTTACACCCGATACCCTTATTACTGAAAAAAGTCTGCTACTTTTCAGGTTCCTTTGTGATATTTTGCAATAACATGAGCAGTATCACAATTATGAAGTGCCTACCCTGGTTGTTTTCTCAGGTATTTCTTCTCCAAGACTTATTGCTTATTTCTGTGGCCTTTGTGGTTTTGTAACTCGGGAGACTGAAGACCTCAGCCCCCAGGTTGCCTTGCTGCCCTGGTTTGATTCAGTGACAGGAGAGAGAAAGGAAAAAAAAAAAAATTGAGACCAGGCTTCATCTCAAACATGATGTATAACTTGCTTTTTACATGTTTCTCCAATTTTTTCCTGGTAGCACATGCAGTGCAGTCATTGGACATTGCTAAGAAAAGCTGATTTCTCTTTTTTTTTTTTTTTCTCCATATAGATACCTTACACAGCAACAGGGGGGGAAAAAAGTATGGATTTTAAATTGCTGTAAAGACATAACAGTTATCAGGAGACTCGGCTTGTGTTGCCCCTAAAACATTTGACTTTTTCTTTTATGTTGAGTTAATGTGAGGTTAATATCCACTAAAAATGCAGATGGAGACCACATCTTGATGAGTAATTCACACTTGTTTGCTTTTGTAAACTGAAAACTCTCTTTCATAGAGCACAAGCAGAATATGTTGTACTCAAATAGGTTTGAAATTAGGCAGAAAAAAGGTGTCTGACAATCTGCTTTGGAAGTTTTAAAGCTGGTAAGTTGTCTTCAGTATTATTAAGAAACGTATTTGAGCTGTTGGAGAACYTAACTGAAATAATGTGCAAACATCAGACATTCAGAAATTCTCGTAATACTAATAGTTTAACACTGGGGAAAGCTTTAATTTCAGAAACAGTATCTTATTTTTTCCAGCAAATGAAAATGAAAATAACAAACCAGATAAGTTACATTAGTGCAGAAAATGGTGTCCATCTTTACTCGGAGGTCCTGGTAAACCCATGGTACTTCTGTGAGCTGCAGAGAACAKCATGTCATTAATCCCCAACCCCAAATTTCTTTACATCAAGTACATTCTTATATTCCTTCTTTGCGAGCAAAATCTAACCCTTGCACACATGCTATTACTGTGGTTACTGCAGGTTCCCTTCGCAAATGATTTGCTTTTCTTGCCTCATTTTGGTTTTATTTCAAAGAAGATACTGGATATCTGGATGAGATGTGATAGTGAGCAGGGAATTTCAGCAACAATCTAGGWTTTTCTGTACACTGGGGGAAAAACAAATACATGTTAACGAAGTTGTGAATTCATTTTCAGATGGGTATATTTAACAAATTGCCAGGTAAGTCTTTTAGTGGCCGAATTGTACGTGACACATACACGAAGTGTTTAGATAGTTSTGGCTGTATGTCTGCATTTAAAATGTTAATGAGAAACTGGGCAGGCAGAGCATTTTGAAGGCATGAAGTGCAAGCTGGATAGCGTATTCTTCAACGATGGCTTTCCCTCGGCCAGGGATCCTGTGTGACCTTATGTGTTGCCCTCTTAAATGAAGTGGTTTGTGAGGTGAAGAGCAGACATGGAAACGGCGTTTTGAGGGCGGCAGCGGCCAGGCCCCTGCCTGCGCAKGTAGGTTCACCTCATGATTTGGTGTGAGGTACCGTCTCGTCAGGATGGAGCCTGGTTGTGGTGTCGTGGGCTCCGGGACAGATGCAGTTCATTGCAGGTAAGTACAAAGGCTTTCATGCTGATGGGGAAAAAGGCTTTATTTTGGCTACTGTATGAAATTTGCCTAGGCTGGCTTGGAGTGACTTCACGCTGTCTCTCCAATGTGGTCTCCTGAGCCTCGGCCCAAGACCACAGGAGAGAGGAGTGCCTTGATGGGCAACTTGACCACCCCATGGTGAGGATCTTGGGTAACTTCCCTTCCTTTTGTGCGCTGGTGCACTCATTTCTCACACCTGTGTTGGGCTGCAGGCAGTTGAGGGCTTGGTTTCAACTTCTGCCGACCCTGGATAGGTCTCCGCTTCCCAATGTGGTGCTTTGTCCTCCAAAGGAAAGCATGCGTTGCTTTGAGTCTTGTGTCTTTTTCCCTTTAGATCCTTTGAATTCTGTCACTTGAAAGTATTTTCACCTTTCTGGAAACCAAATTACAGAAAATGCCACTCTACATTTTGATTTTTTTTTATATACTCTCGCTGCAATCTTGGCACCAATATCTTTATGGAAATATATTGCATTTTGAATTCAATATCAATTTCAGTCTTACCCTGTCATGTGCTGAATAAAAATTGGATGCTGCTAAAATCCTGAAAGGATTGGCATGGAGAGGCTTTTTGTCCCTGGAGCTCAGAACTGGCAATGAGAAATGCTAGGGGAATCCTAGGGAGTTTTCAATACTCGTTTAAAATGATCATTTTGGGAGGCTTAACAGAAAAAAAAAAATCCTAGGGCCCTCAAAATTCACAATTTCAATAGATCACCAAAGACAGCTGTATTCCAAGTAGCACACTGGTTGTAACTGAGAGTAAATACAGAGCCACAATTCTTTTTTCTAGATGTTCGTAACATAGGAATTCTTCACCGCTATTGGTGCTGAATATCTCTGAATCTAATGTATGCTGCTGCTCGCTGCTTCAGATCAAGATTAAAAAATACCTGAMTACACATCTGACAGATTTGGAAGTGCCCGTAATTGAACTTCGGAGATTAATGGAGAGCTGTACTTACCAATGYACTTACACAGGCTCTGGCTTTTCCAGTATTGAGAGAGAAGGCAGGTAAGTAAATCAGTGAGGTTTCTGTGATGCTGTCTTACATTGCTCCCGCTGCCAGTTATTCCTTGGGTTTGGTGCTTTATGTGTCTCAGAGAAGCTTTTCCTTCCCGCAGGTGCCTTGTTTCCACCCATGGCCGCAGTGTTTGGAAGCAGGGGAGAGGAGAGGACCCGGGTCCATGGAGCGCAGTTCTGGGGCCTGCTGCCCGGCCCCGCGTGCCGCCTCCGGCCCTCGTGGGCTGCGTTGGCCACCACAGGCCCCGGCGCCGTGAGGAGGCGGCCACCCTGGAGGCCGCGGGCCCTGTGCCCCATTGCTGCACGAGGAGACCYGAAACGTGGCTTGCAGCCGCTCGGCTCGGGCAGCCGGAGCAGCACAGCACTACCGGGAGCAGCCTGCGGCCCGCTCGAAGCAGGAAGCCTCTGCACGTCGCTATCACCTCGGGGAAGTCACTCATTTTAGGACTGATAGATGGCCATCAAGCAAAAGAGGGTGCTCCTTGCTATGAGGTACAGTGTATTTTTTACTGGAGTTTCTGTCTGTGTAGCTGTAGACTTACAGATTTTTCCTTTATTTTTAAGAATACTTGGGGTGCTTAAACGTGTAAATCTAAAAATGATGACACCAAAGGAGCACTTGGGTGCCAAGTTGCATGTTTCAGTGTGAGATTGTTTTGACAAAGCCTCGTGGTTGTGGCAGCATCCCAGAGGTGAGACTGTGATAGGGACAGTAATATATTGGATCAACAAGAATAGTCCAATGCAATCCACAGGTGGATTTTTCCATCCACCTGTGCTGGATGGAAAAAATGCCCAAATGAGGCTAACTCCACACAACCTAATGCTTGTTATAAAGAAGCAAGTGTTTTATAAAACAATTCTGTTCTGCTGCATGGTTATAATGCTGTATGGGGTCAGAGGGAAGACTTCCCAGAC